ACTTACCGCCACATTTTATCGTGAATTGGATGTTGATGTTTTAAAAGCCGAAAGCTCCGTTTTGCTGGGCAGCCACATGTTGCACTGCATTATCACATTGTTCCCTTTTGTGCATTTGAAAACAAATAATCCTTCCAAATATGGCCGAGGGTTTTTCTGGCTTTTGTGATTAGCAACTGCCATCTTCCGAAGCGCAGCACTGGATTATGAGACAATACAAAGGGTTAATGCAAGGCAGGGCCACATTTCATTTTTTCACCATCAGTATTTTTTTTATTTTTTACTCAGTGACATGAGGGGGTTTTAAATGTAGCAAAGTAAAACTACTTAGGTTAAAATTTACTTGAGTAAAAGTAAAAATTACATATTTCAAAAACTACTCAGAAAATTACAAATTACTCATAAAAAGTACTCAATTACAGTAACTGGAGTAAATGTAATTAATTACTTTCCACCCCTGGTCATACAGTAATTCATATGCATTTAAAATTGTGAGGAAAAGACATGTTGCATGTCTTCTCATCAGCTAGTGTTAGGTTTATTCAATGATGATTATAAAGTTAATATGTGTGCATATGAAACATTGAAGAAATAAGATGCTACATTCTGTCCTGTGATTCAATCAGGAGGGTCATTCTAGACTTGCCTTCAGCCAGAAGGCATTTACAGGATCATTTCACTTTATGACCTGCCTCCGGCCAGTTGGTCATAAAGCAGGGTCATGCTGTTTTATGACCTGCATCCTGCCAGATAATCATTACAGGGTCTTCTGCCCTAAGACCCACCCGTTTGTTTGTGTTCTGTTAATAAAAGCTGTTCTGTTGGGGGCCAGAAAGGTGCTGAACTGTGGGCAGCTAGCCTTTCTCATCCTACAGGAAAAGCTCTGTTTGAAAATCCCTTTGTGTGTCAAATTAATTTTTGTCCTATATGAAATATGAACTCACAATATTTTGAATCTAAAAGCTAGCTTTGCAACACGGTGTGAGAGATCGGAAGATTTTTGCAGGTCTACAGACCTGAGAGATACTTTAAAGATTGTGCAAAGGTTGACTCATCGGTGAGTTAAGAAAAAAGACAAAAAAAAAACACTAAAACCTGTTAACCCCTAGAACCCTACGGACCCACCGGTGGGTCCAGCTGCTACGTGACCTCGTAATTTTAACAA